ATACATACATACACACACACATAAATTACGTACATTGTACATTGCATTATTACAGCAAATTACAATACATTACATTACGTTTAACTGCATTGCAGTACATACGTACATACATTACATGCATGCANNACATATACACACACATACATACATGCACACATGCGTGCAAACATGCATACAGACACACACACACACACACACACACGCATGGACCCAGCGGGCATATAAGTGCCCTGCGCCAGCCCAGCATCACCTCACCAAAAGCTCTAGATCCAAGTCGAGTGCCCAGCAATACCCATAAGGATGTAGTGAAGCTTCAGTATGTTGGGTCTCGGTATAACAGACTTGCTCGGGGTTTGAGCTGCAGGTTTGGACAAACCTCAGATTGTTTTTCCCTTGGGGCTGTGTTTTCGGAGTGTACTCTGTGGTTCACATGTTGGAAGCTTTCCTGGCAAAGCCAAGGATGATGGGGTTCGACTTGAGGCTGCGGCGCTGTTCGAGATGGGTTTCCGATACAGCTGTTGTCGTCGTTCGCGCAGGGGGAACGGGGGCTTTGGGGACCCAAGTTTAGAATATTTATGACTTGAGCCATCGCTTAGTGACTTGGGGGAATCATACTCTGGTTGCTGTTTGCGCCGCTGCCTGGTGCGGCTAGCACAAGGTCTGGTAGCCCAGAATTACGAGCGACTCTTCACTTCGACATGGCAATCTTTCGGCCAGTCTCACACTAAAGATGTATGCAGCGATGACGAGTGTCAGGCACGTTGCTTCGCCAGGATGGAGACGAGTCTATGGATAACAAAATGCGTGACGAAACGCAGGATGTTGGGTTCAGTGGCCGGGTAGAACCTGTGCAGTGGAACTCCTCCACTCATTTCAGATCCTGAGCCTCTCTCAAACTCCTGAAATGATTCGTCCAAGAGGTTGGAAGCCGAGTTACCCACGTTGATGACCACGAGTCCACACGTTGAGAAACCGTTCTTTAGTAATTTAGTCAGGGAAGTCTCGTCTGTTATAGGCGACGGAGCAGAAAATGCCTTGATACACGTCTGGCTCTACTGCCAAAGCTTTCGGGATACACAAGATTGCCCTGCAACACCGAACGACCAGAGTATGCTAATTCCTTCAGCACTTAGGAACCTAATACCTTCACACAACACGTCGCAACATTTAAAGGACCCAAGACAAACAAAGAAAGAGGGGTGCCGGTTTGGGATCTGGTATCGATTCTCCACACCGGGTACATTCAGCACTAGCATCGGCTCCGGCAGTCGGCATCGGTTCTCGACGAAACTGAAGAATCAAAAGGCCAGAATTACGCTCGACGCTCAAATGCTGTGGGTAAAAAAGAGTAGTTACGCACTATGCGGATACTGTCTGAAGTGCCACACTCAGCAGGCTGGTGCTGCAGCAGCAGAACCACCAGCAACAGTACCAGCACCAGTGCCAGCGCCAGCGCCAGAACCAGAACCAGCGCAAGCACCAACAACAACAACTACGACAATGGCAGAAGCAACACACACAACCAACACACACACACACAAAGATGACACTAAAGCTGAGTGTGAATGTGATGTTGATTGACCGAAACAGATGGGCATAATAGCGAGAGCTAGAATATCCCCGTCTGAGTGGTAACCAGGGTTGGCCGAGGCGTTGGCAGCCGCCAGGACACCCAGGAAAATGTAGAACTGAAGGTCGGTGTACGCTACGAAGAGCACGACCTTAAAGGTACAGTCAAAGGTCCAGGCCAAACACGAATCTCCAACAACCTCTAAAACTGAACATCAAGCACTACTCCGTCCGAGTTGTTGCAGGCTGTAGCCTCCGAATCATGGGGATATCAAATGCGTCATACCTTCTCTGAAAAAGTGGCGCTTTCTTTTCAGCCGCCCAGCTGCGCAAGAAACTCCCAAAAACTCAATCCTGCCGGAAGTCGCATGCAAAAACACAGAGGTGTCTTACGATGCTCGAACCCGTGCCAGGTTGCCAATGTTGTAAGACAACAAGAACAAACGTGGATATTTGCAGGTGCGATATTCATGCCAAGCCAGTACCTAGGATCTGGACATCGAAAGCAAAAATCTCGTGTTGGCAAGATTGAGACGAGCAGTTGCACAATGCCGCACATGATGCGCATGTACGCTTATGCTCCTCCCTCATCCAGTAGTTCCCGCCGAGGACATGGATTCTGCTCAGGATCGCGGTGGCAGACACGGGTCGGTTGCCAAGTTCCCCGCATACCAAAAGACCACTGAAGCAATCACGTCGATGACGAACTGCATGGCCCTGAGTGCACATCAAGGATGGCTTCATCGAAAGCTTTCGTCAAAGGCAGATTGGACCGGCTTTCTGTCATTTGTCGTGTTGAAACAGAAACAGAAACAGGAACCGTCTCGAAGAATCCCTGTCGCGAGGTTGTGATTGCAGCAGCTGTTCCGGATACACAGTGATGGTTTGTGTGTAAGCCTACACATTGCCTGACCATGTGCATGTAACACAAGAGAGAAATCTTCTAGCATGCCACAGATTCCTGCTGTCCGCAAGCGGTTTAAAACACGAGCTCCAGCCCCAGCAGGCCCTCGAATCAAGACCCTGGCAAATACTTGCAGCAGTTCAGTTCCTAGAAGAAACACCACGAAGAAACCCACGCATACCGTCGCCGAAAGAGTCGCGAATTCCAAACCTGAACGGACAAGCTTTTCACGCATCGCAGGCAGGAGTTTCTACGCTCCAAACCTCCGAGCCTTGTGCTCAGGTGGCTTTCATGGTATGACAACCACACGAGACTCTCTCTCTCCCTACCTGTTTGCCGGATGTGCGCCCCGACTTAACCTGCGAATGGACAGAGAAGGTTCACCTCCACTCCCAGCTCTCCCAGGAGCGCGCAGGCTGCGGTCCGAGTCAGTAAGTCGAAGGACTCCCACTCCTGGCGATCTTCGAACCCTGAAGCTCCCCTTACAGTATTGTAAAATGATGCATCGTATATTGTATACTGTAAAACCTGCCTATTATAAGATATTGTATAGTGATGCATAGTATATTGTATACTGTAAAATCCGCCTATTATGAGGTTCAGAGCTACTTCCGAGGTCTTCGAACGAGCATTGCTCACACAACGTCACAACGGACACCAAATGCGCGCCTTGCGAATGGACTGAGCGAGACCAGCCTGCGGCACGCGGGAAACCGCCGCAACCAGCTGTCTGCTCCAAACGCCAAGCTTCATCCCAGTGCTAAACGACCTCAACACCAAAATAACAGAAACAGAAAGAACACCACCACCAACAACAACAACAGCACCA